TATAATTATCTTAACCTAATTCTTAAAAACCTAATCAACTGCCGCCTCTAACTTTTGAGAGTTTCAAACTCTCAAACTTTCCTCTCCAGCCGAACCCAACAAATCTCATGCAACCGCCGACCGTTCTGCCATGAATCAGTCGTTGCACGAAAATCACTCCCTCACTTTTTATTTTTTAGCTTCCAAATGCAACAAAGACCCACTCTCTCTACATGAACACACAGTGCACTGAAAGTTAAAAAACCAGAAATACCAAAAAAAAAATGCTTCTGTATTGCTCCCCGTTGATGGGCGAATCGAATTGGGTTGTACAATCTGTTAGGGTATTCCCCTATGAGTCTAAGCTGCCATGGCCATGACGTAGAGAAGCTCAGGAAAAGGGTGATGTAAAATTTGCATGAATAAGAGAGAGAGAGAGAGCAAATCTTATCTTCCTTGTACTTTTATATTCTCCCTCCAGGTGTCCTTCACACGTCAAAATCATGACTGATCGTACAGTTTATTATCATTTCTTCCAGCTCAGTAATTAAAAGTACTAGAAATCTTTTCATAAATGGCTACTGTAGCAACATTCCTCATTTTATTCTGCAAGACCGAAGCAGGGAAAACCTGATTACAAACTAAAACAACTTATGCAGCGACATCAACATAGGTTATAAAAAACCATTACGGTGAAATAAATCCACTGAGTTTTCTATGAAATATGATGATATGCAAATGCAACGAAAATTACATACAAATGCAATATAACGACATGAAATATGATGAAAACACATAAAATGAGAACAAAACACTCCTTAAGATGGGGTAAAACATCTCTCTTTTTTAATTACTATTAGTTACCCATGGCCTACGTCGTTTTTCATGGGTATATAAAATCTTCATTACCCCTATTTTGTCTCATTTCTTTCTTTCTCCCTCTCTTTCCTTGTTTCTCTTCTAACCAGATGCTCAATAGAGATCCGCATGCCTCATTGTCAGCTAGTTGTAAGTCACCGTTGATTTTCGATGACCACCATGTCAGCCTCCATTGTCGATCATTTTTTAAAACCAAAAAGCACCATTCGAACCGTCTTGGCCTCCTAATCATAAATCTAGGGGTCGTTTTCCCCAAATCCTTGTCATCTTTTGTAGATATAATAAAAATATTCACTTTTCTCACATCAAAAAATTCCATCCGTCGTCGTTAATCGTTTGTTTCATTTATTTTAGTTGTTCTTGGGGGAATTATTTATCGTTGACTGAATTCGGCTTCAACAATAGCTATTAGTTTAGTACTATGGTTTTCAGAATCGGATCGTTAGCGAATCGGCCATGCTACCGGTTCACTGGTTCAACCGGTCGAATTGGTTCGACCGGTCAGAAGAATCGGACGACGTCATAATTATTTAAAAAATTATATAAAAATACCAAAAATATTTAATAAAAAATATTTTTTCATATCACAAGTCATATTCAAAACAAGTCATAACATATATAAGTTAAAAACCATAAAATCAAGTGAAACAAAATGATTCAAATTAACTACAACATAATATTTAAGGTAAAACATATTAAATAATAAATATAATTATATAACTATAATTAAAAAATAAATTTGGGGCTAAAAAAATCATAACAAAATGATATTGTTTGGTTTAATTTTTAAAAATTAAAAAATCCCAAATGACAAAGAAACATAGAAGAGCATTCCAAAAGTCTAAAGAGTAAAAATATGAGAACAAAACAATCTCACATGGCTAAGAAACATAGAAGAGCATCCCAACTAACTTCTATAAATAATAGAGGTAATTTGACATTTAAAATCATGGAGCCTTTTGGTGAGCATTGAGTGAACTATTCTTTCACTTCAATCAAGCTCAAATTTTAGGCTTCAATCGAGCTTCTAAATTTTTAGCTCGTGAGTTTGAGTCGAGTTGAACTTACTTTTAAAGTTTTCAAGTTCGAGTCGAGCTCATTCAACTTGGCTAGTTTAACAAACGACGTCGTTTGGTTTAATTTAAAAAAAAAACAAAATTGGCGGTTTTTTTCGATTTTCAGCCGGTCCGGTTTGAACGGTTCAACGGTTCTGGCAGGTTCACTAATAGCGGTTCAACCGGTGTAGATTGAACCGGACTAGGTAGTGATTCCCGGTTGAACTGGCCGGTCCGGTCCGGTTTTCAAAACACTGTTTAGTACTTAGATGGTTTTGTTTGAACCGTTGTATAATCAGAGGTGTCGTACTCCTTTGCATTAGACTGAGCTTAGTGAGAGGCGTGATATTAGTCCAATTTGTTTTTTTTGTGAGACCAAAGAATAGGGGATCTTGAATTTTGATTGGTTGAAAGCTACATTTTACCAAAAACAAATAGTATGTTTATTTGAAGCATCAAGATATTGAATTTGATCAAGTGAATGACTTCATTTTCCGTAAAGTCTCGTCTTTGAAGAAGATGTTGAAATTTGGCCTAGAGGGAAAGCTTATTTTGAGGTTTATTAGATCGTATGAGATTGTTGAGTGTATTGGTCTCTTTGCTTATCGGAGGATTGTTGATTGTATTGGTCTCTTTGCTTATCGTCTCTGTTTTCCAATCAAGCTTGAACATATTCATGATGTTTCCATGTGTCGAGTAACCTGGAGAAGTTATGTAAATTCTACAAAAAAATACTAATTTTTGAATAAATATGATATAAATATTTTTAAAAATATAATTATTAGTTCTGAAAATATTAAGTATATAAATCATTTTAGATTTTAAGATAATGAATTAATTGGGTTTAATTGATATTAAGACTTTAGTGACTAAGATTAAAAAAGGATAAAAAATCATAGTCTCTAAAAGCAATTTATCCAAGATCAATTTTCTCTCCAAAATACCATTTTTATTCGTGACTTGCTTCTTCATTTCCCTCATTTTTAACTTCTATTTTATTAATCTCGTAATTGACTTATCTTATTTTCAACAACATAGTCAAACACCTTTCTCATTTCATCAAAATTCTCTCAAATTTCTCACCATTTCCTCTAAAAAATTGACGTCAAATCCCTCTCATTTTCTCTCCATTTTTGTCAAAATTTCATGCATATTTCCCCATGGTTTTTCAAGATACAGTCTCCAAGCTTTGTTTTCATCTCAATCAAGGTAAGTGATATTCTTTAACTCCTGATCTTTATTTGATCATGCTTTTTAAAATTATTTGATTCATCTTTCATAAATCTAAGATCATGCAATGTTTTGAACAAAAAAGTGTAGTTTAACATTGATTTTTGAAGTTCTTGTTTATTTCCTTATTTTCTAATGAATGTTGATTAATTTTGATGTTTATTAATGATTATTGATAAGCTTACTCTAATATATAAACTGATTTTCATTCAAGATTGATAAGCAATTTATTCAAGATTAATGTGTATGTTTAACAAATTCTAGGCATTTATGTTGTCCATTTTATGTATAGCTTATTTTGTTTATTTGTAATTTAATTTTTGTAACAAAAAAAATAAGTAAATAAAATTAAGGTATCAATTAAATATTTAAGTTCAAATTTAGATACTAAAAAAATAATTAAACTAAGTTCATGTACTAAAGGAACCCAATTAGATATGTAATGCTAGCTTAAAAAAAAGAATCACGTCACGAATAAGATCAAATCTCAATAGAACTTTTATTTTTTTCTAGAATATGAAAACGAATTTCGTTACTCATTCAAATAAGAATAATTAAATATCGTGTCTTATAGTAATTTACCTATACAAACAAAATAAAGAAACTAATATTAACCAACTTGGAAAAATTAATATTAAAATAAAATAAAATTAAACAATGGTAAGGCATTGGTCACGCAATTCAATAATACAATTCTTCATTGTTTAAGGAATTGTTATAATTCTATAAGATATCAAGTTTAAATATCACGAGTTTAAAAATCATGAGTTTAGAAGTATAAATATTCATTGTCAAATGATTAAAAGTTTTTGAATGGTTATTATTATTTTTTGAATAGAAATCGATAGTATTATTTAAAAGTAAAAATATTCAAATTACAATAAGAGTTTACAACTATCATCGAAAGCTGAATAAATATTTTGGACTTTTCCTATAATATTGAAACTAGACACTTTAGATTATATAAGGGTCATACATAGAAAAAGGTCAAGCCTAGCCAAAAGACTTGAATAGAAATATATATGAATAAATCTGATTGAATCGATAAATAAACCACAAAAGGCAATTAAGCTATTGAAAAACCATCGAGAATCACAAATTAGAGTCCAGAGTCGTGAGAAACTCCACGAACGTAAAATTACGCATCTAAATTCAATCCGAAGGCCCATAGCAAGAAAGATCAACATGATTTCAAATAAGCTCCAACTTGATCAGTCGTGACGTCGTCAAATTCAACCATGAGAAAACATAAATAAAAGAACGGCCAAACGACCGAGAAAAAAACGAAAAAACGTATCACAAAAACATAAATAAATGTGTTATAAAGATAGAGATAAACGAGCTACAAATGCATAGATAAACGTGTCACAAATGTATAGATAAACGTACTCCAAAGACAGAGATAAATATACCGCAAAAGTTGAATCATTCTTATCAAAAATTAAAAAAAAAACAAAGAGAAAGGAGAATCGGATGTCAGAATTAACATTAAAACCGATGACACCGTCAACTAAACAAAATTAAAGAAAAAAAGTCGACGTAATCTAGAAAAAATGACACAAAATCAAAGAAAAAGAAAAAAGAAAAGCGGAGAGCGACTAGGTTTTTTCCGTGATATTTTTTTCTAACTCAAATGGTTACTGTTTTGTGTTCACTCCAAAACTATATATTTATAATATAAATCGAGTAATAGTTACTAATAATCTAAAGTTGATAGTCTAAATCGAGTCTTTTATTTCAGGCTTCAAGAGTACAGCTTTAAATAGCTAGCGTATAGATATGACAGTTTTTTTGGGGTTTTAGATGAAACTATAAACTACCATCTCAAAGCCCTCCATTAACGCATGCATGTGAAGTTTAGAAGAAGAAGAATCCTGAAATAGCTGCGGCACCCACAATTATGGTGACTTTGTTAGCAACAGCATTAGATGGTGTGGGTGCCGGTGCCGATTCCGATGCCGGACTTTCCGATTTAGGGCTATCGTTGACAGATTTACGGCCCTTCTTTTTAGTGCTAGGAGCAGGGGAGTCAGAAACTTGGTCCTCCGCAGGTGGTGAAGGAGGGGAAGAGACCTCGTCTTCAGGAGACTCAGAGTCAGAAGAGGATCCTTTCTTCGACTTGGGGCTACTTGCAGCTTTGCTAGGGCTGAGAGACGATGAGCTTGAAGAACTCTTCGGGGATCCCGAAGAAGATGACTTGGGTGACTCTCCGCCGGATTTGGACGATGACGGAGAGGGACTAGTAGAGTGAGATGATGGGGACTTGGCGGAGGAAGACTTGGGCGAGGATGCAGGGGACTTGGAATGTGACGGACCCTTAGAAGGGCCCGGTGAAGTCGATGAATCTCCAGCAAATGCCCCAACAACAGCGACCAAAACAAATGCAAAAACAATAAGATCTTGGTGAGCCATCTGTCTCTTTTTCTTTTTGATAGTTTGCTTTTCTTTTTGATAGTTTGTTATATATGTGTTAACTATCCTATTATATATATCTTCGCAAAAAGGAGTGATTCAAAAGATTGTAGCAGTTTCTCTAAGATATATAATGCTAATGAGTGAGCTGAAATAATCAATGACATGAATTGAACAGATCCTAAACAAAAGAATGATTTGACCAGCGCCATGGCAATGGATCATTTGGTTTACCGAATTTTATGCTTTTCTTGTGGAAGAAATTAAACCTTAAAGATCTTATAATAACATAATATAATAATATACGTTTGCTTTGTTGTTTTCGTGGCTTGCTTGTTTTGCATCCATTTGTCAGACAAAAGTTGAGCTAATTTAACACTTGAACATTATATGTATAGTCAGTGACGATTTAAAATGCTTTTGAGTGTGTATATTGTATTAATAATATAAAATTTTCATATGGAGTAAACATATATAAAATTTTATAAAGGACACAATCAATAAAATAAATAACTAATAGCAAAATCGAATTTCAAGATATATACTAATAATTTCCCTTTTAAAGTGTAAGACAAAACCAAATAGTTAGCGGTATTTAAACTTCATACATTTTAATTATTCCAGATTTTGATATTTTATATTTCAAGAAGTTAGAGATAGATAAGTTAATATAATATTTATGAGATTGAAATTCCAAAGGGCATATCTCATTTTTTTTCTATTAAGTAATATTACATTTATACATTTAAATTATTAAATTTTATTACACTTTTAAAAATGCTGATATCTGGACATCAGTACTTCGAGTGTCTATTTTTATGAGCTTGTGATTGATGCATTGATCATATATAGTTTTATACATCATCAATGAATAAGATTATGACACATCATTAAAAACAAATGAAATAATTTTAATTTTAAATTTTAATTTTATGATAATGTGGTATTACCTTCACTTACTGTGTATAGAATTTATATATTCCATCAAATATAATTACAACGATTCAAATTTTGGATCAACATTCTAGTGTTGACGTGAGTGCTTGCTGACCCAGTTTTTATGGGAATTGAGATTATTGGATTAGAGATTAGATCTAATTGGATGGAATTGGCCTCAAAGTGTGACAAAGAGGAGATTGTTCAATTGTATTGCATAGTCCAAAGACCTAGGAAGTTATTTGGCCATTCAAGGGGGACAAGTCTGATTTTGATCGTTGTTTTCACGTGAATTTTTGTGGCAAAGGCTAAGCAATTTATTTTGCATTAACTCTTCCTCTCATCCTTGTCCCCTTCCCTCTTGTTCCTTTTCTTCTTTTCCACATTCTTCTTTCGTTCATTTCTTCTCTATTTTTAAAGCTTAGAACTTTTTGTAAAAGATGAAAACTTGCAAGTAGTTGTCAAACGTAGGATTTATCTCCAACACTCTTAAGTGTTAAGAGCAGTATTGAGCTCACGGACACCTGAAAAAAAGTTTTAGCAAATCTAAGATTTTTATGAGGATTAAGAAAGAAAGAGTTTTTTTTCAATCCATTATTCTTATTTCATTTCTAAGTTCGTTTTTGCATTTTAAGCTTCAAGATATCATTTTCTTATCACTCTTTTTACGTGGTTGAGCAAAAAGAGAGATTAAAAAAAAGATTTATATGATTCAATTAAAACTACTGACTACACATATATCAACAAATGCCTCGTTAAAAAATCTCTTTAAACCTATATGGATGAAAAAAAGTACCCTATATCGATATCAACATACCAATGGATTCTTACACGAGCAGAGCCAAAAATAAAACAACCAATCGTCCCAAATATTTAGAAATGAGGAATAATGGATTGAAAAAACTCTGACTTGTAGATAGTAGAGGTGAAGGTTCTTCTTACTTCAAAGCGAAGGTAATACACATTTAACTCGATTTTAGTACACAAATTTGTGTGATGTGTGATTTGGTTGTTTAAATATGTTGTTTGGTTTGTTCATGGTGGCTTTTCATGTTTGGTGGTACTTGTTAATGAATAAAGGTACAATCTTGTGTCTTAAACTCGATTGAAGTCATTAATATGTATTTTTTATATGTAGGAAGTGTTTGATGGCTTAGGGTTGAGGTTTTGTAACGCACCTTAAATTTAGATGTTCGAATTGATTGATCAATTTAATAGGTTTTAACTTATTCGATTAATTTCTTATTTGCGTAGTAAATTAAAAAAGTACCGAAACTAAAAATATTTAATCAATTTAATTGAAATTCAAATTTCAAAAAAATACCAGATATTGTATGAATTATTTTATATGGAAATAAGAAAAAAAGACGATTTTATATGTAAATATAATTGATTTAATTTTTTTTATATTTTATATGTGATGTATTCAAATTTTTAAAAGTATTTCATATTATATATCATTATATATGATATTGATTGATTAATAAAATATATTCTCTTCATCCCATTAAATGTGTTTAGTTTTTAAAATTGTCTTATTTAAAATTATATATTAGAAAAGTCAATAAACAACAATACTTAATTTATTTTTATCTTTATATGTTTCATATTTTTACATCTATCAAAACAAATTTGTTAAATATATCAATCAATTTTAGGGATAATTTTATCATTTCTTTTATTTTATATAACTTAACATATGATTAAACTTATATTTTAAAACTTTGTGTTTAGTCAAAATAAGACAAAAATAATAAGACGATGGGAGTATTTATTATTTTATTTTATTTGGATTAATTTGATTCTAAAAAAATGAGATATTTTTTTGGGGATTAGAGTTTTAAATCGAGTGTGAATCATGTAAAGAACCATTATTCCAACATTCAAATTTAGGAAGAAATCTGTAATTTTTCAGTGAGCTTAAGCCAGCCCGTTTCAGCACCTAATAGAACCTGGGTTTTTTTGGCCCAATAGGCCTCCAAACTTTTTTATTTAACCCAATAGGCACTCATTTTTTATTTTGGAGAATATGATAAAAGTTACAGTGATTCACGAACTCGTCAAGTAAATGTGACGAATTCAGTGGGATATATTATTTTAATGGACTAGGATGAGTGGGCCATTTATTTATTGAAATTAAAGTGACTCGTCACCTCGAAGTGAAGATTATGTTTTAAAAAATAATAATAAAAATTGTAAAATTAATTTTAGTATTAAAAATAAATAAATAAATAACTCATCACCTCAAGGTGACGAGTTCATTTGAATTCAAAAAATAGTTGTTGGTCAATGGGCAACAACAACAGTCACATGACAATGGTCAACATGGAACTCGTCACCTCAAGATGACGAATTCAGTTGGATTTTTGAAATTTATTGTGTTGGGATTGGGGCTATAAATTGGAGTTTGAGGTTTACGTTTTTTAACACCCACTATTACGAAAAAATTGAGAAAAATTCCTACTTTTTGAAAAAATAACGAAAAATGGATTCCCAAGAAGAAATGTTACGCCTTGATATTGTTCATATTTCGTCAATTGAACTTTGTCTGGGAGAATGATATATCTTCAGTAATACGGTCTATATCTAACCATATTTTTACTTGGCTTTAAGTCCACCCGGCTTTGATTTTGGCTTTGATTGAACATTGGAGGCCGAGACACACACTTTCCATTTCCTAAGTGGTGAAGCGACGATTACTTTGGAAGACGTCATTTTCCAACTCGGTGTTCCCGTCAATGGTATCGTCGTCGTCAGGTGGAACGATTACCACCCCATCGCTTTGGTCTATGAAGTTTTGGGAAGGCAGCCACCATCTGAGGTCATGGGCGGCTATTGGATTCGAATGACATGGTTGGAGTCCGAATTTCAAGTGACCGAGGAGGAGGTAATTTTTACATGTCGAGCATACCTTCTCCATCTGATCGGAGGGATATTATTACTGGATAAATTTATTAATTTGGTGCACACTTAGTATCTCTCTATATTAAATAATTTTGATGAGTGTCATAATACTAGTTGGGGCTCGAAGATTTTATCCTTTTTGTACTTGGAGCTTTGCAAGGCTACAATTGTCCAGTGGGGCCGAAAAGCCGATGTAGCAGACTGTTTAATATTGCTACAATCTTGGGCTTGGTATCAATTTCCGTTTTTTAATGCCAATTATAACAGCCATGTTCAAGTTTCCTCTCGCTGGAAGGTAATTTTTTAATTTCACTTTTTTAAATAAATTTATTTTTATATGTTTTTAATCGTTTTTTATTTTATATTTTTTGGATGGAGCCATAAAATAACTGAGACGAAGTTGGCTGGTGCTACTAAAAACAATATACGGATGAGGATCGACATCGTCGGTCGATATGTGGTAAATATTATTTTTTTAATTGTTTAACTTTATATATACTAACTTTTATAATTAATATTTCCAATTTTCTTGTCTTCCGTATTGAGACGTAGAGATCTACCATTTATTGCCACCAGGAGTTTTTAATGGGCTCGAGTTATGGTGTGTCGTGACTCCATTATTGTATTTTCCAATTGTTGAGATGTTCACCGCTGATAGAGTGTTACGACAGTTTGCGTCTCATCAACCGATTCCTTCGCAAATATGGGACATGGACACACTCCATAGAATTGATACGCGTGGGAAACATATTGAAAATTGGCAGAGGATGCACGCTGTTTACATTGAGCAATGGAATCAACGTCACTTATCGATCCCCCATGTTACAATATTACACTGATCGATCTAGATTTTGACCATTCTCCCTATCACCGAAATTACATAGCAAATGAGAAACCATATCTGATAACACCGGAAGAAAATGGAGAATGAAAACAACATAAGGACAAATTTTCCAAGTCGAAGAAATCATCGTCATCTTTTTCTTCTGCTACAACATCTGCATCTAAAGATTACTATTATGAATCTCAAGCTAGTTTTGATTTCTATAATGCATATCATACTTCAACCGAGACTCAGCCGACTTGGGTTGGACCTTCATGGGATGTGATGCAACACACTCAAGCATATTCGATAGAACATGCTGGTGAGAGTGAATGAG